ATATTGGCTGATAAGCCTTCAAAATTTTCAAAAAAAAACACTAAACACTATAACATTGAATTTAATCTTCTAGGGAGTATTAGGTAGTTACACATTCACTTAGTAATTTCAACTAAATAAATCACCACACTTTGGCCGTTCAGCCAATTCATCCATTTAAGTAGTCATCAGACAGGCACTAAGTTCCTCGACTTCAACTGACATATTTGAATCATTTAAGATGGAGATCAACAAAAGAAAGTATTTTTCAATTAATGATCACTAAGAGTGAAGAGGGAGGGGCTTACCATCCTGCCATCAATGTTGTGTTTATCCTTAATGACTCTGTCCGCAACAGTGGGATCACTAAACACGATAAACCCAAATCCACGGGCACGCCCAGTTGTCCTGTCCTTCATAATCACAGCTTCCAGAACCTCCCCATAAGCACTGAAATACTCCTTCAGATGTTCTTCAGTTGTGTCCCAGGAAATCCCACCGATGAATAACTTGCCAAGATCAGATTGCATTTTACTGCACAGTAAATGAATTCCATTACTTAAGCCAAATAAATAAAAACATCATAGTTTACTACTTGACAGAAGACAAATGCAGACTGAAAGCCTGGGAGAAATCAACCATTAAATATTGCATCTTTACTATCCAGAAGCAAACATCACATACGTCAACTATATAAATTAGATATCAAAAGATTGAATGTTCAATAGATTCTGCTATGCTGTGTATAGCATCATCAGATCTTGAGAAGATCAATCCAGATAAGGATCCATAGATGTGACGAAGAAACAAAGAAATGTGTTCTTTACGGATTTCAGGATATCGATCCAATGGGTTCATCCACACTCAATCATGACTCGTGTATGAGTAACAACCCAAAATACATTGAAGTGAGATACTGAAAATCAAAATATGAAATGAAATTCAATACCCAGATCAACAAGTCGTCGATCGAACAAAAACCACTTAGATCCAGATAGAGGAGGCAGTACTGCGAGGTACTTGAATCAGAGGGCCTTTTCTTCTTCCTCCTCTATATGCCCTCCTTCCTCCGGTTCATTTCCTATTTGGAAAGTTTGATATGTCAAGTGGAGCTAATATGTCATTTCCTTTTTTTTTAGAAATGCCATTTCCTAATATTATTAGGGATTATTACTATTATTATTATTATTTTATTTGTTTTATGTACTATGTATCATTTTAGATATGTAGTGCGTTTTCCTTTTTGTGAATTTGTGAAGCTCTATCTATCTCTATTTTTAAAAAGAATACAGAAAAAAAACATACTTGGTAATATCAAAAGTTTATAAGGTATAAACTTTGACCAAAATATACCATATAGTTGTTTTATTTTTTAAAAACTAAACCAGTAAAGTATTAAGTTTCTTAATAACACTTCTAACCTATACGGAACAATAAAAGAATATAAACTGTGACGATAAGTAAACTATTAAGTTGTTTATTAAAAAAACTAGTTATGTATTAAATTTTTATGAATATAATACTTCTAATTATTATATTGTCTACTCAAAAATAATGTCAACTTGAGTGGTATTCGAACTTGTTACCTCCATTACCATAGTGATAGCATCTTCAAAGTAAAAATGTGAACCATGCATAAGTGGTACTCCCTCGGTCTCTCTATAATTGTCCCATTTTTTTATTTTTGGATGTTCCCCTATTATTGTCTCATACTACCTCCGTCCCGATGGGCTTTGTCAAGTGCAAAGTAGGTGAGAAATAAAAATAGTAAAAACAATGTGGTTGAAATTTGTGAAGAGGAGAGAGAAATGTGAAGAACCATAAATTAGTTGCTTTAATATGAAAGTGTTAAGTTTTTTGGGACAACCAAAAAGGGAAAGTTGGTAAAGTCCTATGGGACGGAGGGAGTACCATATTTGGTAATATTTGTGTGAATGTAATTAATTCTTGCTTTATTTACACTTTATCAACTCATTATCAACCACATAATTCTAATTTTCTTAAAAACCACACCACTCTCTTATTCCCAATATTAGGGGACGGAGGTAGTATTAGAAAGATATATACACAAATATTAATAAGTGGAATATGCCACTTATTAATATTTTTTAGCGTGAGAACCATGCTTAACGTGGTGTTCTCACGTTCTCACGTTAAGCATTGTTCTCATTTAATATCTGTTCTCACGTATTTTTTAGCGCAGTGAATTTCAAAAAATCATTTGACGACCTTCCGAATTGAGGTTTTAGCTGAATTTTTTTGTGGATAAATTAGACTTCATGAAGAACATGACATAAAAATTTCATCAAAAAATACCACCGGGAACGCGGTCAAACGCCATCGAACGGACGGCAGGTCTTGTGCGGCCGTCCGCATGAGAATACCACTATATATATATATATATATATGTGTGTGTGTGTGTGTGTGTGTGTGTGTGTGTGTGTGTGTGTAGATAAGAGATCAAATACAAACCATGCTTAAAATACTAACCTACAAACTCAATAATATGCATCACTTTAAACTTCAATATGCAGTAAAAATAATCTAAAGATGCAGGGGTGGCATCACATACAAACTAGTACTCCCATTCAAATCATCTTTATATTATTTGTATTGCACATTGAAGTTCAAAGTGTTCATATTATTCAAGCCATAAAATAGCAGTTTCATATTTACATTATTTGTATTGCATATTGAAATTCAAAGAGTGCATCTTTACATTATTTGTGTTGCATATTGAAGTTCAAAGTGTTGCATATCATTGAGTTTGTAGGTTAATAATTTAAACAGGTTTTGTATGTGATCTCACCCCTATATATATATGTGTGTGTGTGTATACCTATAGGAAGAATCCCTCGCTGTCTCCCCACAGTTTTTCAGTTTCAGAAACGCCACATTTCTGTCCCGGACAGCTGCCTTTTTTGCAACCGGGTCGAACGTGTTGAGCATTGCTTCCTGATGTGCCCCTTTTCCAAATCAATTTGGAATGCTATCAAGGTACAGTATCCTTTAAAACTTTGTAGGAAGAGTTTAAGTAATGCTAGGCGGTGGCTGTTTTCCTTTTTGGTCAGTGAGACCGTTATACATTCAACGGTACTTGCAGTTACTTTTTGGCATATTTGGGGGGCGAGGAATGAGGCCCGCAATAATGAAGGGGTGCTTCACCCTCTTAGGGTGGCTGACAAAGTCATTGCCTATATGGAAATGCTTGCGCAGCACTGTCTTAAACCATTGACGACAAGTAAAGGTGATCCCCGTTGTTCGGACCATCGTTGGATCCCACCGGCGCTTGATGTGGTTTGTATTCATGTGGATGCTGCACCTTTTCTTCTTCATCGAAAAATGGGTGTAGGGATTGTGATTCGGGACCACACAGGGCATTGTTTGCTTGCTTGCAATGAACGTTTTGATGAAGTCACTATCCCCGCACTTGCTGAAGCGTTGGCTGTCTGACGTGCGCTCAACCTCGATGGGGCCGAGTGTTTCCAGAAAATCAGTGTTGCTTCTGATTGTCTTTCTGTCATTCAACGTTTGCAGGCTAGTTGAAGGGATCACTCGATGCTTGGGCCTGTTATTGGTGACATTACAATTCTTGCTAGTAGCTTTCTTGTTTGTTCTTTTAAGCATGTTAAACGTGTGATGAATATGGCAGCACACACTTTAGCTCGGTCTTGTGAGTTTAGTTGTGACCGGGTTTATCATGATGTAATCCCAGAGTGTATCTGGAAAGTATTGTGTAATGATCTTACTTAATCTATGTTATGCAGTAACTCTCAAAAAAAGTATGTTTTATCCTTCACCTTCTTCTATGCCTTTCCCTAGAAATATCTCCCCTTAATTTCGCACCTTGCTAAGCGGACGCTTTCCCCTGAATTCTTAAGGTATACCTCTTCATATTAACGAGGTACTAATTTTTAAGCACATATCTTGAGTGAAATTCAATTAAAAAGATTTGTGTTCCCGCATTTTCAATTCGATTAAAAGAATTCATGTGTGTTTTCTTCATTACTTTGCCTCTACGAGATGGAAGGTCATGGACATCTCCAAGCTTTTCGAAAAAAATGCTAACTTTAGTCGTTAGTATGGCCATACAATTAATTTGATAGCAGAATACATGTAATTAACAGATATAGGGTTTGTCAATAGCAACTTTGAAAAAATAAGAAAGTCCAGATCAACTTGACGTATGAAGGAATCATAACAAAACTCCAATTAGGTTCGAATTTCCTTATGTATTTATTTTCCCTAAAAGTTGTGCACTTTGTCAATACTTTGAGGTTTTCATAAGTTTGGGTACTATTCATCTTCTCATCTATTACTTGGGAATTTTCGAGATTATTTTTTTGCTTGTGTTTCAAGTTGAATAGATATTTTTTGTCTTTACTAAAAAGCCATGTGGCAATTTAGAAAGATGCTACTACTTTTCCAATAATGGATGCTAGGTATATTTATGCTTGAATGTATAGAATCCTATTGTTTTATATGTTGTGTTACTACTTTGTCAATACTTTGAGGTTTTCATAAGTTTGGGTACTATTCATCTTCTCATCTATTACTTGAGATTTTTCTAGATTATTTTTTGCTTGTGTTTCAAGTTGAATAGATACTTTTTGTCTTTACTAAAAAGCCACGTGGCAATTTAGAAAGATGCTACTACTGTTCCAACAATGGATGCTAGGTATATTTATGCTTGAATGTATAGAATCCTATTGTTTTATATGTTGTGCTACTACTTTGTCAATACTTTGAGGTTTTCATAAGTTTGGGTACTATTCATCTTCTCATCTATTACTTGGGAATTTTCGAGATTATTTTTTTGCTTGTGTTTCAAGTTGAATAGATACTTTTTGTCTTTACTAAAAAGCCACGCGGCAATTTAGAAAGATGCTACTACTGTTCCAACAATGGATGCTAGGTATATTTATGCTTGAATATATAGAATCCTATTGTTTTATATGCTGTGTTACACAAATTCATAATTTCATATTTATGTTTTTCAAATGATTTTTAAGTGCCCGAGTTATCTATATAAAATATACAGAACATGAATTTTGATAGATTCAGAACTCCTTAGGATTTCAGATGTGAATGTGTAATGTCGTTTGGGAATGAGGCAAAAAACAAAAATTGAAGTACTTACATGCTATGCTTAGTAAACTAACTTTCAATGAAAAGTATGGTTGTATCATTCTGCAACCAAATTTTACTAGGTACATGTTATTAAGAAATTTATATTATTATGAGGTTAAGTTTTTAATCAAAACACTCTTTGTTACACTCTTTGTTGTATGTGCTTTTCCTAAATCAAAACTATATCATGGGTACTCCAATCTATCGAGGTATTGGGTAACTTCCCAACTAACAATCACTTCATGCCTATCATACTTACCCCAAAAGGGCAAATGGTCTTAACCGTTTTACATTTTATTGACTTTCCTAAACATACACGCGATTTACAAGAAAAAATTGTTTTTAGGAGTTGGGTGTTAGTATTTGACTTTACAATCCTAACAAGGTGCAATGCATTCTAGGTTTACTCAATTAAGTGTTTTTTCATTAATCGAAATGATTTTGGTTTTCCACTTCTATAAGTAACACACTTTCATTTCTCATTTACAAATCCATCCACCTAGGCTGTGGGATTACTGAGTTCTTATGGACATGTATTTTTATGGTTTACCTTGAATAGAAAATATTAAATTATTCTCATACATAAGATATTCAAATTGAAAAAACTCTGTTCTCACCATTACTGATTTTTTAGAGATCGCTCACCTAGGTTGTGGTTTACTTTTTTATATCCCAAGACTTCAAATTAAGAAATGTGATTACCAATTTGATTGTCTCTAATTAATGGTCAAAGTTAATGTTGTTTGTCGTTAATTTGTTGTGTTAGGTAATTTATTTGGGCGGTGTAATCAAAGTTTTAAAGAGCTATTATATAAGGGGTCAATTTTTTATGTATTGAACTTTAGTTTACTTTGGGGGTGTTTGGAACTGATTCTGCTTCTGCTTCTTTTTTAAAACAAAAGTAGAATCAGAATCAATTTTAGAAGTTGGTCACCCCGGCTTCTAAAAATATTAATTCTAGGAGTAAATCAGGGTACCAGAAGTACTTCACTTCTACCCAAACACTCCAAACACCCCTTTTAAATTAAAATTGGAGTATTTCTTGATTCCATTTATCTCTTTTTCAAAATACATGAGAATCCATATTGTCAAAATGTGCTTTCTTGTGGCATATTAGGAGATTGAAAAGCTTAAGATGATTGGCCTCCATTTGTTTGACAGCAACAAAAAAAAGAAGCTAAAGGATTAAACATTCTTGCACAACTTCAAAGGATCAAATGCCTAGAGTTTAATGGTTTATAACATGGTTTAACTAAACAAAATAGTATGACATATATTTCAATAAGGAACTACTTAATGATTTTTAAAAGGCTATTTATGATGAATTAAATACCAAATGACTTATGTTTACTTATGAATGCTATAAATCCTGATAGCAGCTTCTCATATTCTTTTCTTAATGAGTAGTGGCATGTTTATTCGATTTGTAGTTCAAGTATGTTTATAAATTCTATATGTAGTTCGAATAGTGACATGTTTCTTCTATCTCTAGAAACATTGACGACATCTCCTTCCACCCATTGGCTTCCAGTTGTCACTTCTCTATAAGATGTTGCTAGAATTGCAAAAATATTTGGAGGCTGATGTTGGCTCAAGTTTTCAAGGTTGGCTTCTAAAATCTCTTTAAGCTTTCTTGATTCTTATTTGTATCTTTGCTTTGTTCTTTGAACTTGTGTTTATACACTGCTGGAATTGGGATGAAAAAAGGATGAAACCGCTCATGTACTTCAACTTATTTCTTTATAATTATTTCTTCTTAATTTTCATGAAAATCTATATTCTTCCTACTGACGTTGTGTTAGTACCTTAGAAATCTGTTATATGTTTTACTCTTGGTTGTTCTGTAAAACCGTTATAATTGGGAAACTTTTTTCTTAGGGTTACAGATAATTAGTATGCATATATTATTCAAAGAGTTGTAAGTATAGACATTGTCTTAAGGTCTTAGTAGCAAGGAGTATTATCTTTATTGTATAATCTAATCCTTCTAATCTCCTTATATTTCTAGTAGAGGTTACCTTTTGCACTTGGGAACTCGAGGTTACGAGCATTGTTATAGGCTTTTTAGTAGGGTTGTAAACGAATCAAATAATTTGTACTCGATTCGCGATTCGAATTCGTATAAGCCGATTCGAATTCAGAAAATTCAAATACAAATACAAATAAGAATAATAAACTTGATTCGAGTTGTTATCAAATGCAAATAAGAATATCAGTGTATTCGATTCGAATATTAATCAAATATATTCGATTAATAATAATAGTAATATCAATATCAATATTAATAATAATAGTAATAACATTATAATAAATTTTAAAAGATAACAATATCCTCAAAGTATAACCCATATTTTTATTTTTATTTTTTTAATATTTTTTTATTGATTTATCTTTTTACTCCAGGGGGTGTCTGGAGGAGGGGAGCTGGGGGACCTGGAGTAATCGGGGCTGAAACTCACTCCATTGAGTTTCAAATCCTTATGTGCCTAGCGGGTTTTGAACTCGAGACCTCTCACGAGGCAGGTAACTTCACAACCAGCTCGGCTGGAATGTTTGGTTAAGTATAGCCCATATATACACTTTTGCATACAAATTCCAAGTCACTTTGTAATAAATTAGAATATAAATACGAATACAAATCGATCAATTTTTTGGTTCAAATGTCTTTCAAATACAATACAAATAATTATTATATTCGTTTTGAAGAATAAAATTATAGTTGTTTGACTTTGATATATACAATTATCAACTTATTTCACACATTATAAGTATAATTTCAATATGCATAAGAATATGTGTGTGTCAGTGTTTATTTCAAAAGGTTTGAAATAGATTTATATTCATTAATCATCATCATAAAATTAATTCACTTTGGTATATTGTGCACCATCTAAAAACACATTTTAGAGTGATATTTGACTAATATTTAACTTATGCTCGGATCGATTTGATATTCGTATATGATTCGTTAACTATTCGTATTGTTAAACAAATACAAATACAAATCGAAATTAATATTCGTTTCATATTTGAATTCGAATTCGTATCTGAAAAAAGTAAACAAATACAAATACAAAATCTCATTATTGGACTCGATTCAATTCGTTTACAACCCTACTTTTTAGTATGTCCGTGGAGCTACACAAACAGTCTTGGTGTTATTTTTTAGTTCACCGGTTAAATAAATATATAGTTATATTTTTAAATTGTTTATTTATTTATTGTTTATATATAAGGGTTACAAGCAATGTTATGGGCATTTGACACATAACTACATAAGGGTTGTCTTCCTTTATAAAACCTGCTTAATTAAGATAATAATGAGGTCTTATGACATGCATGTTGAATTTATAAGGAAAGCCTCACAATCTGTGATACTAAGTTATCATGGGATGCAAGTTCATCATTCCTCAAAAGCATGTAAAATGCTCATGGACTTCACAAAGCTGCTGCCTGAAGTTCTTGACTTCGGATTGGTTCTAACAGACCTTGTATATCCAAAAAAACACGGGGGTTTGTTATAAATATTACAAAAAAAAGGTTATAAACAAAAAACATACCTTTTTAGTTTCCAAAAAAGTGAATAAAATAGTCCTAAATAAGTAATCACATAAATGGATATTACTAATGTGCCCATCATAATGTCCAATGACACCATTTATCAATGACACCATTTACTAATGGATATTACTAATGTGCCCATCCTAATTTAATCTTTAACTCTTGAACTACTATATCTATATAAGTAATGTCATGCTTTTTGTTTTGAAGACTGAAATATTGTTTTTTAGGTAAACTTGCAAATATGATCCATCTTTGTGTTTTTACAATGATGTCATTAAGATGTCATTCTAACTATGAGATGACACTTCTTCCAATAGTCTTTCCAAACCACATATTTGCAATGGTAGCTCCAAAGGAGGCGGTTGTGGTGCCGGAGGGCGCGGCGTTCGCACAAACGAGGAACGATGGATCGGATTATGCAAAGACAACAGTAGATGAGGTCACAGCTAGGGTTGTATATGAACCGAATCGAGTCGAATAATGAGATTTTGTATCTGTATTTGTTTAATTTTTTCGAATACGAATTCGAATTCAAATATGAAACGAATATTAATTTTGATTTGTATTTGTATTTGTTTAACAATACGAATGATTAACGAATCATATACGAATATCGAATCGATTTGAGTATAAGTTAAATATTAGTCAAATATCACTCTAAAAAACTTTTCTTATACTCCGTGTTTTTTATGTTGTAAATGCTTGCTATATGACTTAATGTGTGTTTTTAGAATTTAAGTTTAATGGATCAATGCATTTTTAGATGGTACAAAATATACTAAAGTAAATTAATTTTATGATTAATAAATATAAATCTATTTCAAACTTTTTGAAATATACACTAACACGCACATATCAGAAATTATATATACTTATAATGTGTGAAATAACTTGATAATTATATATATCAAAGTCAAATAACTTCAATTTTATTCTTCAAATCGAATACATAATTATTTGTATTGTATTTGAAAGACATTTGAACCAAAAAATTGATTTGTATTCGTATTTATATTCTGATTTATTACAAATGAGCTTGGAATCTGTATGCAAAAGTGTATATATGGGATACACTTTGAGGTTATTGTTATTTTTTAAAAGTTATTATAGTGTTATTATTATTATTATTGACATTAATATTATCATTATTATTAATCGAATATATTTGATTAATATTCGAATCGAATACACTGATATTCTTATTTGTATTTGATAACAACTCGAATCAAATTTAATATTCTTATTTGTATTTGTATTTGAATTTTCCGAATTCGAATCACCTTTTACGAATTCGAATCACGAATCGAGCATAAATTATTTGATTCGTTTACAACCCTAGTCACAGCGAGCCAGTCAGCGACGACGATAGTGCTAGAGTTGGCGTCGGTCAAGGCTTAGACAATTGTAGCACCATATGTTTAGCTCTCTCATATGTAGATTTTGATTTTATTATTTTATTTTGTATTATTAATTAAAATGGTACTTTTATCCTTTACTATTAATTCCCCCGTGTCAAACTATAGGTAGCATAAGAGCATCGATGTGAGAGGGTGCATATGGTCTCTTATAGGTGTTCTAAAAGGCGTGGCCCGTGACAATTAAGGCGGCAAAGCCAAGTCTGAAGCATTTGAAACCTATACAAAAATAGACTAACATATGCGTGAAAGGCATTTTAGATTTCCACTGATAATTAGTACGAGGTATTTTATAGTGAAATGTGAAGAAAAAGAATAAATATCTAAATGGCCTATTTTTAAATATCTAAAAAGTGCAAGTCTTAGATTGATTTTTTAAAATTTAATCAACTCCTTTTCTTCAGAATACAAACATTTCGTTTAAAAAACTCATTTTTCACGCTCAGACCTCGCCTCTTGTGCCTAGCCTTACACCTTTTCACGCCTTAGGTGATCAACTATTCATTTAATCGCTCTTTTACGTCTTTCTATCATGCGGGGCATTTTCCCGTCGCCTCACATCAAGGCTGGAACACTATCTATTACACCCCCAAAAAACTGGGTTCCATTTTTATCTCACATGTTTTATGTGCAAGACTTACATAACTCTTAATTTAGTTTTATTTTTAAAAACATTTTGAACTCACTTTTCATCTATTTTTGGGTCTTTGAATCCCGTGTAAGATCCAGGTGCGGACCTTGCCCTAGACCTAAGTTTACACATAATCGCTCTCATCTCTATGCTTTTTTCATTTTTTGCACAATACTTTCTCTATATCAAATTAAAATTATCATTATATCTCTGTCTCTTTCATATGTCCCCCACTACAATTCACCCTCTCACTAGAGATGCTCTTATTCTATTTTACCTTTTTTGTATGTTTTGCTTCGAAAGTTGGAATTTTCTTGTGAATTATACCCTTTTTGTATACTATTGTTAGCTATAGTAAAATTCGTCACCATATTTAATGGAAAAACAACAGGTGTTGTGAATAGTGTAACAAAATAAATGAGATGGTACAAAAGTATAAAGGAGAATGTGAAAAGTAGAAAAAATAAAAGTAATCAGTATTTTTAAAAGGAAATATATCAAAAAAGAAAAAGCATAAAACTAAAATACTTCTACAAAAGAAAAGTGTAACAAAATTACCACATACTATCTATGTCGCACTAATGTTGGGATATGAGGAGATGGTCGTGGGCATAGCTCAACTGGCAGATAGGAGGTGCAATAACAGTTAAGTGTTGGGTTCGAACCTTAACAATTGCGATGAGAGATTACTATATAAAAAATGTATAGTGTCTTTGCAAGTACTTGAACACAGCACACTCGCTATCTGCTAACTTGGGATTAAAGTTCAATTTATATCATCCCAAGTTAACTGGTCGATCAGTGTTGAGGCCCTCGTGGATGACGTGTCATATGAGGAGGTGGTCGGTGGGCGTAGCTCAACTGATAGATATGAGGTGTAACAAGAGTTAAATGTTGGGTTCAAATCTTAGTAACTACGATGCATGAAAGATTATTATATAAAAATGTATAGTGCCTTTTACTAGTGCTTGGACAGAGCCCACTCGCTATTTGTCAATTTACGATTAAAATTTAATTTATATCATCTCACTCAACTATCCGACCACTGTTGAGACCCTCATGGATGACGTGTCATTTTTTTGGGGGGTATGAAAAAGGTGGTGCAATTATTAAGAAAAGATAAATTTATATGATTTATATTAAGTGATAAAATAAAAATACAATAAAAACATTTTAGAACACACAAATTTGATCAAATTTAACATTGAGACCACGATGAAACAAGTACGGAGTATAATACTTCCTCCGTTCCATAAAAATTGCAACATTGGAATTTCTGCATTATTCACACATCTTACTTTGACTACAATTTTCTAATAATATATATAATAAAAATATTATATGTAAAATATTAATAAATTTGTATTAGTGTAAATTTCCAATATATTAACTCTTTTTTATGTTTACTGATACGTAAATAAATATAATTACGGTCAAAGTTGCGCGTTGACAAACGTGAAAGTCAAACTGTTGCAACTTTTATGGAACCGAGGATAGTATAAGATAACAACGAGTTAGGTCGAGAGTTAGGTCGCTTTCCTCCTACGAAATACGAACTCCCCCGTCCAGGTACAGTAGTATTTTGAATTTCCAAAATCCCCTCCAAAGTTCAAAACTTTGAAAGCCGAAAAGTGGAGTTTCCCTCCAAATGTTGAAAGTCGGCAAAGGCCTTCTCGATATTACCGCTCCTATAAAACCGCAGTTATAGAATCGCACATCATCAGTGTCTCTTCCAGCAAAACTGCGATCATGTCTAGCCTCGCAACCTTCAACGGCATCAAGCATCCAGTTTCCGGCTCCAACTCCAACCCGAAGGCGGGCGAAATCCATGTAATAATCGGCCCGATGTTTGCCGGCAAGACCACCGCTCTCCTCCGCCGTATCAAATCCGATTCTAACAATGGCAGGTAGGTTGTTATTCTGTTCCATCATTATTGCTATCACCTTCAATCTATTCCATATCTGTAATTTGTAAGGTGTGTTTGTCTTGAAATGTGAAGCAGTAACGTCGTGATGATAAAATCGAGCAAGGACACCAGATACGCGGTGGATGAGGTGGTAACGCACGACGGCACTAAATTCCCCTGTTGGGCGTTGCCAGATCTCTCTTCATTCAAGATCAGATTCGGATCTGAGTCATATAAAATGGTGCGTTTATCGTTCCTTTTCACTCTTCCGGATCGGGGTAATCTTTTACCAGTCACATGATTGGGTTCCTTTTTACTTAGGTGGACGTGATTGGAATTGATGAAGCCCAGTTCTTCGACGATCTGTATGATTTTTGCTGTGAAGCTGCAGATCTCGACGGGAAAACATTAATAATTGCTGGGCTAGATGGTGATTATTTAAGGTATGCGAATATACTCATTGGAGCATCTTTACAAACCACTCGATGTGTTTTCGCCGTTTGTTGACTCATTTGCTGCCACTCGATCTTGCTGATGTTGTTTACCTTTTTCATTTTATACTTCCTAGTGATTTTACATCTCCAATTAACTTCCAATTAAATATCTATACATATGAAATCTAATATAAATTAATAATTGAATAATATATACTCCTGTATAAAATTAATTTTGTGATAAATTGATTTTGAATGTAAAAGTTTGTTAGGATATGATTCCAGGTCTTCAACCACTTATAAGGATGACCTCTTTGTTCACCATTTTTTTCTCTCCTTCCACTAAGGCACCTCTCTCAACTCACACAAAGGAAAGAAGACGTAGAAGAGCATTGCTCACTACTCACATACTATTCTTCCTTTGAGAGCACCTTGCGTGAGAATAGTTTGAAAGTAGTGAGCATTGCTCTTCTCCTTCTCTTTTTCTTTGTGTGTTAGTTGAGAGAAGTACCTTAGTGTTAAGAGAAAAACTTGGTGAGTGGAGAGGTCCTCCCTAGTGTGGTAGTGTGGTGTATGTGAGCTAGAATGGTCGGAGACCTGAGTCGGAGACGGAATTCGATCCTAACAGAGTTTATAAAGTTTGACCTAAAAAGTGCAATTGAGAACTTAATTGTAAGATGAAAGGACTAGATTCTAAATGGGTAATACCAAAAAATTTTAAAGCTTCAAATATGAAGTAATGGATTATACGAAGTATATTTTTCCTAATATTAATGTTTTCACATTTTGGCTTTATCCAATTTTAAATACTAGTACTTTATGTTTGTGTACTTTTGTAATTGGTGTTATTTTCAAGATAAATGATATTTGAATCCACTTTTATACTTTCTCTTATACTCACCATGTTTGCAATAAAACTTTTTTGTATGTAAATCATGTTCACAAACAAAATATGTCATACTTCGTTTGCCAACAGATTCAAAGACAACAAAAAAGCCTTCAAAGAGATGAGTATAAGTGTGTGTATAACAGTGTGTACAACAAGAATGGTTGTATTTTCAATACATATCGTTAATTACTTTTATTTAAATAATAAAAACATACTCCGTACAGTATTTTTATTTCAAAATGTTAGTACTCCTCCTAAAAGCAATTTCTTGTACTAGATTTATAACTTTGATTTCTTATTGAGGAAGTTTTTATTTAGACTTCATTTAGGTTTTGTTTTAAGTACACTTTATTCATCATAGACCATATAAGATTTAAAAAAAATCAAATTTAAACAATTGTAAAATATACGGAGTACTACATTAAGAGGCTGTTTGGTATTACTGTTTTCAGCTTATTAGGCTTATCAACCAACTTTTTCAACAAACATGTAATTTTTGTTTTCGCGTGCTCAATTGTGTCATAATAAGAAAAAATAAGGTTTAAATTAGTTTTTTCGTTGTATTGGCTTAAGTTATTGTAGATTAACATTTTAGCTATTTTTACATATAATTTTTTTGTTATTTCATTAATAAAATATATTTTAATTTTTTTTTTTAAATCAGCAGAATCAGCTAATGCAACCAATTTTGTCAGAACTTTAAATTTTAGCCGAATCAACCTCTTTCGTGTTACTAAACGGGCTCTAAGTATTTAGCTGAGCAAACTTGATCAAACATTTCAAATTAGATTAGATAAAAGAATTGTGGAAATTCATTTAGACTCTTAGTGTATATTTGGAGTTTAGACTTGGGAGTGAACAAAAAGTGTTATACTAATCCGATACTCATTAGTTAGGCATATAATTGAGTGTTTTTTATTGGATTTATTTCATTCTCAGTTCAGATTAGGTGAGATCAAATTATATCAGATTAGATTGTAACAAATCAAACTAAATTATACGAGACTTCAACAATTGTAAAATATGTATGGTTTAATTCCACTTTGATCCTATGAATTAATTGGATATAACCGTTTGTGGCCCTTTTCCAACAATTTTAACCATCGGAAATAATGCCGGAAGGACCACATATGGACGAAAATCCAATAGTCATGTATCAAAGTGATCAAAGTGAAAGATTTAGACTAAATGTGGAATTGACCTAAAACTCGTAAGATCAAAAGTGGAATTCATTCAAATATTTATAGACTAAACATATACTCCCTCTGGTCCTTAATTAACTTTATACTTTCCTTTTCGGGCCGTCCCATATTAAACTTTACATTTCCTTATTTGCCTTATTTGGCAAACAAATCTACATCAAACAATGCAAAACAGTGTTAAACACTGCCAAATAGTGTTAAACAGTGTATTCTACGGTAAAGTCAAATTTATTTCCTTAATATGTGTGAAGTCAAAGTGTAAAGTTTAATACGGACTTGAGGGATTATACATATCGTATCAGACCAAATTGGATTAAATTAGAAAATTTCTGTCCCAAGTAATAGCATATCCAGATTGAGCATAGTATGACAGGGAATTGCGATTGCAGGAGGAGATTCGGGTCAGTTCTGGACATAATCCCACTTGCCAATACTGTCCAGAAATTGACAGCTAGATGCGAAATATGTGGGAAACGAGCCTCCTTCACCTTCAGGAAGATTGGCGAAACCCAGACAGAGCTCATTGGGGGTTCAGATATGTACATGCCACTCTGCCGACAGCACTATGTCATTGGAATAACACCTCCCACTACGATTTCCCAGAAAGAAGAAGAAGATTTGTTTAAGAGGAAGAAGATGTTTCGTGAGGAGGGCGCTACGTTATTAGAGTCCTCATATGAGAAACTTGTTCCCTTTCCTTAACTTTGTACTCCGTATTGTATAAATATAAATATTGAGTTCGCATTTACTTAGTGTTGGTTATTGATCGATTTCTTATCGATTGATTAAGGCTTTTTCTATGGTAATGGTATATAAAATTATAAATCAAACGAAGTTGAACTTGTGTACATTTTTTTTTGTATTTGGTATTTCTAACTTACATCTATTGAGCATCTTCCTTTTATTTGCTGCTAAAAATTTGGTGGTTGGTTATATTATTAATTTTATTGTTACTGTCACTGATGTTATTGTAACTATTAAACTGTTTTCAAGAAATTCAGTTTACAAATGGTTTGTCTATGGTTTCTTTGCACCAGACGGCTTGCGCTGTTTTGTTGCTCGGTGTCTTTGATCAGTATTTTCAAATGGGTGGTGCTATGAATCGAATTGAGTAAGAGAGTTGTTTTGGACTAAATTGGGCTGGCCCGGCCCGGAACTGGCCCGCTACTGTGCGGGCCCGGACTAGGACCGGTTGGCCAGTTCCAGGCTTTTAGCCCGTTTTGGAGAGATTAGCTTAACTAGGCCTCTTCCCTTCCCCTCAGCTAAACCGGTGATTACTACAAAAATACTTCATCAGCTAAACCAGGAATGATGATACAAAAATACTTCATCAGCTAAACCAGGAATGGTTTTTATTTAGAATGTTTAAGCCTGGTCTGGTGTGTTTGGTGTGTTTTTACTATTGTCTAAATTTCATAAGTCTGGTCTGTTTAAATAGGATTGAAATGAATCCAATTAAAAACATCTGGCTGAAACTTCAAGAACAGTGCAATGAATTTGTAAAATCTTCTTTCATAGTCAAGTAACCAATAAGGTACTTGTGAAGCATTTCCAAATGTAATGCCCGTCATTGGTCATAAACCTATTTCCAATATTGTGGTTAGAGGGAGAAAGGCAAGACTGAAAATGGCAGAAAGATTCATTTTTTTACAAATTAATACAAACCAACCAACCAACCAACTACAAGTCAGAATGTTTGGAAACAGATAAAAAACCGCAACCTGCACTACATGCTGGGGGGGGGGGGTGTGTGTGTGTTCGGGTAATAGTGTTTTACGGTTTTACCCCAAAACGCTGATTCTTTTCAACTGCAAATGCCGCAAAATGCAGTGTGTTTGCACGAAGCCACAGAAAAAAACAGGGCCGCTATCTTAACCAATGAGCGGAAACTACTGTTGCCAGAACTAGCCCCTTGTATATCAATCCACTTGACAAACACTCACACTTGAGAACCTTACAGTCTGTTTCGCTTTTGGAGGGGAGTGGTTTGGTGAGCAAAGACTATATAAGGTATTTAAGCCCAGAAAAACATTTGAATCTATATAAAATTGAAAGAATAACATAGTAGGTGATCATATCACATTTAAACCAACTCTTCATTGGTTTCTAATAACATTCTATTTTTCAAGATAAAGGCTAAGTTATATATTGTCTATAAAAATGGAAATAATAACATAGTAGGTATTCATGTCACATTTAAACCAACTCTTCATTCGTTTTTAATAACATTCTATTCATCAAGAATTCAAGATATAGGCTATGTTTTCTGAAGCATCCCCTCTGAAACCTTCCATCTAAAGTGGCCCTAAGCTAAAGCCCAAATCAATTCAAATCAGATTTTCATATGAATAACAATTAACTAGTATAAATGTATAATGACTAACATCAAGAGAATAGATATTAAAGATGTACACCACTTCACTGAAAAAGTAGATAATCTGACAGACTTGCAACCATCATCTTCATAATCATCAAAGAACGAGTATAAAAAAACTATAATACATAACGTAAGCACAGAAGGCTAGGCATACTGAGTTACCAAGGAGGATTAGATCCGCCTTCTTTAACAGGAGACCTAGAAGCAGCCAAACTACCATCTCTTCCAAGCCTTGACATACTCCTACCAGATTTAGGAGTACCCAACCCAGGACTCGCACCACGATAGCTAGCCCTCAGAGATTCATCCAAAGACCGTGATGACTTGGCAATGGCATTCCTCACAAACTTCTGTGCAGCTGGGGATAGAGTCCGTCCACATGGACTAACACTTCCCCCTCTGACTGGAGAGTGCAAAGGCGGTTTCTGAAACATCTTTGACCTCTCCCTGAGTTTCCTAGAAGCTTCTCGGGATAAAGAGTGTGCCTTTACATCTCTTGAAGCAGGCATTGGTATGTTATAGTGGAGCCTTTCTCCATTACCTCCAATATCAAAGGGAGTGTCTTCTGGTTCCAACCTAAGTGGGGTACCCTCTATCTCACCCCATGTGATGAAAGGAGAGCCGTCAACACCAGGTGCAGGAGATGGAGTCATAACATAACTATATCCATTTTCAGCTTTCTTCCCAGATTCTATAAAGAACTGATTGGGAGTTTTCTTAAAATCTTCCAGATCATATTTCTTTGATTTATCCCCCCCTCTGTCAATGAAAGGAAGAGGTGTAGCTCCTGGAACTGGTGAATAAAGAACAGCCACGGTCTCATCTTCTTTCAGGAGGGTTTCTGTCATTTTACCATGAAAACGAGTATTGGGCCTGTTAATTTCCTTGGTCAACCCCTTGAGTCTATTAGCCATTTCTTCTTCTGTTAATGGTGCCTCTCCTCTATCAGCAGGATGGTACATGAGCAGGTTCTTTGCAGTATATTTCCACCCTTCTAATGTGGCAACGGGTTGATCCGACGTACCATATCCATCTGTAGAGACCTTTTCTCTTTTTGAACCCTCGATCAGATTTACATCTACCTCCTGCTTTTCACCTTCTAACAAAAAATCGTACCGCTCCTTCCTCTTCCTATTAACTTTCTCAATGATCTTGAAAAAGCTCTCGTTGTCCTCACTGGTGTACCTCCTCATGAAATCATCTAATGGCAAAGACGTATCAGCCTCACCCTCAACAATTTTATTGCCAATATCGGTAGAAGTATTACAGCTATCACTGGCATCACCGGTCATACTCGGAGTAGTGGCCTTGATAACGTCGTCAAAGGGGGTGATTGAGTTTCTGAAAAATGTCGAGCCAGGGGTTCGAGATTTATTACCTGCAGTGTCGGAACCGATCGCCTTTCCGCGGCGGCGCTCGATAATTTTCAACTGCGCATCGCGAATCTGAAGAGGATCTCCCGTACGGACGGCCTCGAGCCAGTCGAGTCGATCTCGGAGCTTAGGAATGTCAGGGAAGAAATCCCGCTCGATGATCTTCTCTATTGCGGCAACGTATGTGTCTTCGTCTAGGACTTTATTCCGGCAATTTCTGGGGGCTGAATTCGTGGTAATCAACGAAGAACTACTGCCGTTCTTCTTGATAGGAGCGGAAGAATTAGGGTTAGGGGTTTGGTCATTTAGGGATGGGGACCGCGATGGAGTCGAGATGTGGCGTGGGGAGTGACCCGGCGATAACAACATATTGGCAAACGATCGGAGTAGGCGGTCGTTAGGGCTCTGCGGCAGTGCAGAATCGGCAGATTTTATGAAATACAGTACTCCGTATTGAACCTATCGATAATCAGACTATACGAAACGATTTCGGATTTTTGATCGAGTGGGAAAACGCGTAGAACGGGTCAAATCCATTACCAGAAGTACAATTCTATTGAGGGTCGTTCTAGGCAAATGGAAATATAAATCATCCATTAATGAAAGAAAAAATTCAACTTTTCGTCAGTTACTACTATATCACTTTCACATTTAGTTCGTTACTTTCAGATTATTCATATTTAATCAGTGACCATTATTTCCTCACCACCCCTCGTCCTTCTGGCCAAAATTCCGGCAAATTTAATGCAAAGACTGTTATGAAAAACTCAACCTTATATAAAATTTAATGCAAAGGCTGATTTTGAGGCTGATAAGTGAACCAAATTTACCGGAATTTTGGCCAGAAGTACGAGGGGTGGTGAGGGAATAATTGTCACGGACTAAATGTAGACAATCTGAAAGTAAGAGACTAAATGTGGAAGTTGTATAATAGTCATGAATCCAAAAGTGAATTTTTTTTCTTAATTAAAATGACTTGAAATGCTATTGGCTGAGCAAAACAAATGTACGGTACACTCCAAATTTGAAGAGGTATCATAAAAATCTCCTTCCATTAATAGCACACACTAACAAGTTGTTTTTTTCACTTGGATCTAAA